GCTGAGCTCTCGTGCCTCCGTTGGTAAAAAAAATTAGCCAATCACCATCGAGTGTTCACTTTCAGCGCAGAGTAGTGTTGAGAAAAGAACCCTAGCAATCAACCAATATCAACCAATCATCATAGAGACGTAAATTACGTGATATTAGTTTGAACGTCTCCCGCTGCGCTGATAATGTACCAAGTACTTATGATGAGTAGCGATATTGAATATTTGATTGCCAACAGATTTACCAAGCTGTCATTCAAACAGTATATATACAAATTTAGGGAAAACAGCCTAAGCTGGATATAGGCTACAGCAGTCGGCTTAATTAAACGGCGCAACAGGCAGCTCTCTTTTAACACAGACTTTTAAGAAGGTATGGATTTTTGCGTCAAGTGATAGGCCAGGTAAGTGAAATTATATTATCTTGCTGTATGTATGTCGTTTTCTTTACGTTTTCTGACTAAAAGCAACCAAAAAGCCATTTTAAAGTGGTTAAGCAAATAATATAATAATAATAATCGGCAGGGATCCCAGACCAATACAATTAGTGTGCCTCCTCTATTTTAAAACCCACGAACCGCCACTGGTTATGACCAGTCTTAAAGAAACAAATTAGATAAACTAAATTAAACTTGTAAGACATGCAGTTTATGCAACTGGCCACTGGTATCTATGTACTGTACAGTTCAGGTCCTTCCTTCAATGCAGGTCTATGGGATTTTTTTTCTTTCTTCCATCCGCCATACTTTTATCACCACAGATGTCTAGCTATTCTTTACAGGCTGCATGGTTTGAGTCCCCTCAAATGGTGCGAGGCAAACGTTTAACGCTTAGAGCTGTTAGTCATAACCTCAAACTCAAACTATGAGAAACAGTAATAGTGATAGTGATGCTTGTCTAACCAAGTGTAACTAATAATACGATGTCATACTGGTTGTGACATGCTGCTGTCCTCCTTCTATTGTTATTGTTATTTTAACAGTAGTTTATTCCTCACGTTTTGTTACCCTTGCTAGCAGCTTCACTGTTATCACAATACAACAGAATTTGAGGAACTCAGTTACTTCTGTTTTATCAGTTTTTACTGAAATCCCCTGGGGTTAAAACATTGAACAACTAAACTAAACTTCCTTTTCTACTCGTGTTACACTTATTCATACTGATACATAGTTTGTGTTTTTTTTTTTATATTTCAACTAGCCTTAATTGAACTTGCTTGCGTTTGAACACCACACCAATATACATATTTTCATCAAAAAATAAATAAATAAAATAAAATAAGATAAAATAAAGTAAATGCAAATTTATAATAATAATAATAATAAAGAAAACATTTCTAGTAAAGGCATTAAAGCAATAAATCACAGCTAAATAGAAAATCTATAAGACAAGAGCTGATGAATAATCTAGCCAATCCTTACAACGGCACTCAGGTATAGCAAAAGGAGGAGAGGACTCTCATTTTACCAGATAAATGCATGTCATTTCTAATGACCTTTTAATTATTTATCCATTAACAATAACAGCCCGTCAGAGAGATAATAATTTCTGATCAGATAGAGACTGCTGTGTGTTGTCACTGCATTATTTATCTGCTGTATTTGACAATGAGTTATATGGGCCACCGGAGGAACTCAGGGTCATGCTACAGTCACAGATATACACAAAGCCATCATACACATTACACAGCCCATGACAAACTCCTGAACCTGAAGAGAACCAGACTTCAGAATGTACTAAACAAGTCTTGAGAATATTTTCCAGTACAAGACAAACATTTGAGTTTTCTTGCTTGATTTTTTTTTTTTAGAAGTATGTAATCAACAGTACTAAATATTCACCAAAAACATACAAGGATGATTCTACAGGTTCCAGTTCGAGCCAAAAGGGTTTTACAGCCTGACTATGTATAGTTATACTCAGTGGTTTAAATCAGTTCTCACCTGGTGTTAAAGTAACTTCACAAGCGTTAAACCCTGTGTGCGTATATTTCTCGGACAGCTGACTGGTTTGAAAGATGTACAGTCCAACAGAATGCAAATATCAAAACACTTCAACTTTCTTAGTCTATTTTTGACATTTAATGTACTTGTACAGAAGGCAATGATTACCAAAACTCACCCTCAAGCTGTGTATTACATGAACCTCTCACTCTTCCCACCCTTCTCAAAACTGCTGACAGAAAAAGAAAAAAAAAAACTAGCAACTCTTTCACACTCACACCCACTATTTTACTTCCTATTTCTAGGACTGTCTGCCGAATCCCCCTCTACTTGACCTTGACCTCTCGCTGTACCCCTAACCTTTTTATCCTCAGGATTCTTACCATAAGCGTCCTACGGTGACATCGTAGTGCGTGTAGGTCTAGTGTGGGACTTCTTTCTCTCGCCAAAGTCAGCTAAAGAGTCTCCTCCTCTTTGTCTTGCCCTTTTATTTTCTCTTTCTCCTCCTCCTTTCTCTCGCTTCTCAGTCTTCCATCTGCTTTCACTTTACGTTGATGGGAAACAGGGAGTGCAGGCATCCAGCCTAGACTCATTCACACATGCGCACCAAAAAGGGAAGCTAGCCATTTTTTTCCCCATTCCTCTAACCACTGACAAAGTACAGCAGTACTGAGCATGTTCACTATGACCACAAGGCCACACACAAACTAAATACACACAACATACACATTTACTTAACCATCTAAACAAGAACTTCCATTTTTATATAAAGCAAATTATAATCAGTCGCTACAGACATAAAAATAAAATATATTTTTTATTAAATACAGTATATATATATATATATATATATATATAGAAATTTGTTCCCAAACTATAACTAAGAATCCAAGCATAGATTTAGAGAGAAAGCTATCACAGGCCTATGACTTATTTTCATCCTGTTAGCTAATCATCACTGAAATAGTCCTGATACAGCACTTGTCAGGTAACAAAAATGCATGCATTTTATAAGAGGAAATGATTATAGGTAACCTTATTATGAACCAATTAAAAAAAGAAAAATCCAAGAAATCAGGTTAATCATACTATTAAACACTCATGCGCATACTAGTGCGCACACACACACACACACACACACACACACACACACACAGAGAACTTACTGTCATTACACACTTTTCCATGTATCCGATTCTCAGCATATTTACAGTAAACATTTATAAAAATACCAGTTTATCCATACTTGGCATTAAAAAAAATGGTATGGACCAATGACCCTAAACTGCCCCAAAATGCAGAAGTGAGAGAATCTGAATGTGACGCCACCAAACTAGCTTTAATTTAGAGGTGAAAAAGTATATGCCACAAAATCAATGCCAATCACCACCTTTTAAATATACATATTCCACATCAAAATGCACCAACATTAAATGCAAATAAGTGATCTGCATTATACAGAAATGAGTCTTACCTCTGTTTCATTGATTTTTAAAACATGTCACCTCATTAAAGGCAGAGGTCAAGAGAGTGAAATGGCCTGGTGGTTTTGAACAAGGCTGGACCTGCCATATCTGGATCGGATTCCTCTAGAGGAACTTCTAAAGAGAGAAGGAACACTACAAATGACATGCTTCTGCTGTTAAATACTGAAGACGAAAGAAGAGAGGAAATGATTTAGGAGGAAGAACAACAGTCATATAGAAAGTTAGAAAGAGCGAGAGTAGGTTTTACAACCACGGATCTAGGCATCCAAACACACACCAGTGCTTATTAGCAGCACAATAACGGTTTTCAGAAAGAAAGATCAGAATCACACATTAATTCATAAATAATTTATAAATAAATTCAGAATATGGATTCAATCTGTGAACTCCTCCACAGTTTAAAACACATAAATAGCTTTCCACATATTGACAAAACATAAATAAAACATATGACCAAAAGCTAGAATTTACAAGAAATACATGCACATGTGGTAGTCTACTTTACATTGTTTTTTTTTACATCTGTTTGGTTGTGCATATATTACAAACAAAACAAACTATAATTCCATTACACCTTAAAAAAAGAGAGCATACAAACTACTTGGCACAAAGTAAACAAAGTTTCATACAGTACATCCCTTCTCATTGGCTGGCACTACTGGTCTATATTTGTCTTTTTTTTACTTGCGTATTTATCCGTTTTGAGACATTCATAAACAAGCTAGAGAGAATAATCATGATCTTTGAAGCATTTGGTGTGGTTGGACTACCAGAAATGTCTTTCAAGTAGACAAAGATGAATGCATTGAAGGTATCACAGATAAGATTTCTGGAACACATCAGTGATCAAGACCAATAGAGAAAAATGTATGTCTAAATGTGCATATCTGTGCCTGTCAATCAAAGCATAGGCAGCCAATGTAAATAAACCTTGTTAGACCACTCCCCCAGCCATAACACTCCTCCCGTTCAGAAGGCCACGGAGAACATGTGGAATGAGCCCATAGACTCATGGTTTGGCAAAACTCTCGCATCTTCTCATCTTCTCACATTTTTTGTTCTCACAATGTTACTGATACCTTTTCATTACAATGTGCCTTGAATAATTGTGAAGTGATAGTTAAAATGTATAGCATTCTGCTTTTCTCTTCTCACAGGGCTCCCACAACTTTTTACCAATACCTTTCCGTGACTTTTCCAGTTGTTTGATAAACTAGATAATTTTGTAAACAATTTTGCAAAAAATTCAGAAACTGCACTTACCAATTTCTAACCAACAAATTGTTTAATGCTGACTTTTTAAGATTTTTTTTTTTATTATTTCCAGGACTTTTACAGTCATTTGAATACCTAGATAATTTTTGTAAAAAAAAAAAAAAAGCAGGAGATTACACCCACAAATACATTTCTAGCCAACACAATATTTTAGTGCTGACTTAAGATTTAATTTGCATAACTTTTCCAGTCATTTGATTAACTAGATATTATATGTAAAACAAAAATGCAGAGACTGCACTCATAAATACCAATTTCTAGCCAACAAAATATTTTAGTGCTGACTTAAGATTTTCTTTTTTTTTTTTAATTTCCATGAATTTTCAAGTTGTTTGGTTAACTAGATAATTTTTGTAAAACACAAATGCAGAGATTACTAGCCAATTAAATATTTTAGTAATGACTTTTTAAGACTTAATTCATTTCCATACCTTTTCCTTGATATTTCCAGATTTTCCATCACCATGGGAACGCTATTCTCAATGCTAGCACTCCCCATCATGAGGAGTGATGCAAATCCAGTAAAACAGTTAAGTGACTCTTAAGGCTTTGAATAAACATACACAATTTTATAAACAGTGTAGGTCCTTGTGTGATTGGTTTGTGAACGCTTGTTTGTCTGTCAGTCTTTTCCCTTGTCTCGTATTATAAGTTTCTTCTGTTTAAATCAGTCCACTTTAATCCTAATGATAAGGTCAACCTTGAGTTTCATCTTCACCTCCCTTCTTCAGCAGGCCTGGTCTCAGATTTTAGTTTGACAAACTCTTTGGCAACCTCATCAGTTGAGCGTTGAGAGAGGATTCGTAGTGCAGTGGTCCCGGTTTCATCAATGTTGATACGCGGGCCCAAGGGGCACCAGCACACGCAGCTTTTCCGGTCTGCTATGTCACGCAGCTGCAGTACTGCGATCCCGACCACCCGATCCGCACGACCGAAACAATAATCCTTTACCGTTATTTGAATCTCATAGCAGTCCAGACTCACGCCTTTACCCAACACACTGAGATTAAAATAAAGGATGGGAAATCTCAGTAATGTTTTTTTTTTGTACATTTTTAAATAAAATTAACTGCCAGTAAGTACTAGTATTTATCTTATAGAAAATGTCGGTGTTTCAAACCACATATTTAACAGATGAGAGCGTTTTTACTCACAATTGAAAGGTCTCGTTGTAATTTGCAGTCCAGCTGTTGTTTTTCGATTTGGTTGTGAATTTTCGTTTCTTCTCTGTGAGCTGTGGGCCGACCAGGTTAACCTCCACAAATGGACGAAACATCCCGGAGGTCTGCCATTTCATGTCATTTACCGCAATCACTGGAAGATAAAGAGATAAAGAGTTCATAAAAAGACACCAGGGTTTTTTTTCAACATCAAGACTTGATAAAATCATCATTATCTCACCAGACACTTAAATGCACAGATATAAGTCCTAAATTTAGCTCTTCTTTGCTGTAGTCTCACCTCTGACACCGAGTTTCTGCTCAGTGTTTCCAGCCGGGGGCGACAAATCCAGCTGAATCACTGCCTCCCCAATCAGCCGCTCAACCCCAGAGCCTGTCAATCAAACCACTTCATTTTACAAATACTGTATTTTCAACATATTACAGTCAAACATATGCATTTTTTTTTACACTTTATGCTTTGATCTCTGTGAGCTGTGGGCCGACCAGGTTAACCTCCACAAATGGACGAAACATCCCGGAGGTCTGCCATTTCATGTCATTTACCGCAATCACTGGAAGATAAAGAGATAAAGAGTTCATAAAAAGACACCAGGGTTTTTTTTCAACATCAAGACTTGATAAAATCATCATTATCTCACCAGACACTTAAATGCACAGATATAAGTCCTAAATTTAGCTCTTCTTTGCTGTAGTCTCACCTCTGACACCGAGTTTCTGCTCAGTGTTTCCAGCCGGGGGCGACAAATCCAGCTGAATCACTGCCTCCCCAATCAGCCGCTCAACCCCAGAGCCTGTCAATCAAACCACTTCATTTTACAAATACTGTATTTTCAACATATTACAGTCAAACATATGCATTTCTTTATGCTTTGATTGTGGTTAAAAATGTGGAATTCTATTGAATGGATTTTAATAAAATGTTATAAAATGTGCCAGTGGCAGCTTAAGCGTCATTATATTACCCAAAATATTTAATAAATAATTATGTAATGTGCAGAGGAACTTGGAACAGAAATGCATTTTTCCTAAAATGCTAAAAATTTCAAAGGCATTAGAGAGTCAATTTTGAAAAATAATTTTGTGCCACACTTTCCTATACACACACACACACACACACACACTACTGTTCAAAATGTTACAAAAGAGCTGTAGTCTCACCTCTGACACCGAGTTTCTGCTCAGTGTTTCCAGCCGGGGGCGACAAATCCAGCTGAATCACTGCCTCCCCAATCAGCCGCTCAACCCCAGAGCCTGTCAATCAAACCACTTCATTTTACAAATACTGTATTTTCAACATATTACAGTCAAACATATGCATTTCTTTATGCTTTGATTGTAGTTAAAAATGTGGAATTCTATTGAATGGATTTTAATAAAATGTTATAAAATGTGCCAGTGGCAGCTTAGGCGTCATTATATTACCCAAAATATTTAATAAATAATTATGTAATGTGCAGAGGAACTTGGAACAGAAATGCATTTTTCCTAAAATGCTAAAAATTTCAAAGGCATTAGAGAGTCAATTTTGAAAAATAATTTTGTGCCACACTTTCCTATACACACACACACACACACACACTACTGTTCAAAATGTTACAAAAGTTTTATTTTAAACAA